ACAAACTGCGTTTCCGTGAGGTAGTGATAGACGGGAAAAGTCTGAAAGAAATACGTCCGTCAGTCCAAGTCGCTTGCTTGGAGGAGACGGGAACATACGGTACATGCCCGCACAGCCGTTGAGATGCCATGAGGAAATTATTGTAATTCATTTCCACCGGAGAATTGTTCGTTGTGGTCGTTGATACAATCATAGTGCGCTCTCCGGATGCTTTGCCGATGATTTAATTCCCAGCTTACATCCGACACCCGCTTAAATCGTCTTCCCTTCAAGCTTCCATGTGATACATTTCGCTGCAAAGCTGATCTTTTCTCGTGATACTGCTTTATGACTCTGTTGATACGAGAGAGACTCTCAGGCCAGAGAAAGTCGCTTCTCTGGGATTTCATCTGGCCGCTGCTGTTGGCGATGTCTTCCTCTCTTCCTGATGAACCTATCAGGTCCATTCATGATTCTCTTCGTTTATTTTTGCAATCCATATGAGTCCCGTCTGTTCGATTTCAAGGTATTTACCTGATGGGACCCATTGGAATCTAAACTTTTTACTTGACACTTTAAGTTTCATTTTACGTCATAGAATCACGGCCAAGGTACTTGTCACACATGTTCTAGTATCAACAGACGGTGCAGGTATTGGAATTATGACGGTGAAACTAGCCTCATCGTCTATCGTTGAATCGTTCAAATCTCCCGGACCATGACCTTTCTTTGTCCGAGACTTCCCGAGAATTTGTAAGATTACCGGACACTCGAACTCACAAGTTCTCCCCTTCACTCCATGTGAATTTCCTCCATAGATTCCCTAGGTCCGCTGTTGTTCACCGAGCTCAAAACCCAAACCTCTGATCGCAAAAGTACTCGTGAACACTAAAGCTCGCATATGATGAGAGCTTTAGTGTTCACGGACACCTTTTGCGACGGTGTATCGTCGATAAGGTCCCATAATATAAAACGAAACTTGACGGGTCCCATCAAGCAGTTTAGTTTTGATAAGACTTATCAGATCAATCTTATCAAGTAAATACCTCGTTCAATTTAGTTCTTTGCATGCGCTTGTCCCATCCAACACATAAGACTTTTCTTATGTGTTGGATGAAATGTTTATGGTTGTTACATGGGGTATATATTATATTGACGAGCCTTTTGCTTTCATATTAAGTGCCCCTTCTCGGTGCTTGTGTTGGAGAAAGTGTTGTGCTTTGGTTTGGGTTCAGATCTGATAAAGTCCTAAAGTGGAAAAAAGAGATTGTAGACGCTCGAAGGAAATCATGTGGATGCCACTGCCGATGCCAGATGCTCGAGATTTAAGGCGCCGGATGTGAGTCTATGTGATGGTGACGACGAACGTTATTGTTCTTGGTGTCCATATTCATTCCACACTTATGGCGGGAATCGGCAGACCTTGTGATGTGCTCGAGGGAGGGATTGCTGTTGTTTTTATGATGTCTTCTGTTTTTTGACATGATGATGATGTTGGTGGCGCGGTGTTGTTGTTGTTGTCTCCCCCCGCCCGCCCTGTCCAAATTCACTCCAGCTCCACTTTATTGCTGCAAATGCAACCAAGTGTGGCTCGTTGAGAATTCATGTACGTACTCGATCTTGTGTCGTGGGATTGATGTACGAGGTGACTTGCAATTCGGAAAAGTCCGGAGCCATTGAATGTCGTCGTGATCATGAGCCTCCAATCTATCCCGACCTACTTACAGAGGCAGGCCTTCGTGCTCCAGTGCATCTTCCAACTCCTCGGTGCAAGTTATCATTTGCACGATACTCGTGTGCTGCACATCGGTGGTGTCAAGTTCTGAGGTCAAGACGAGTCTTATTCACAATGTCCTTCAAGCTCACACGTTGTTTGAATCGAACTGTTCAGCCCAGATAAAAAGAAAACAGTGAGAACGCGCATACTCTGAAAAGGCTCGGGACGGAACGAGCCACTGCCACGCACTCCACTAACACCTGAGCTGGCCTAGCCCTCGACAAAACCACGGCCCCTACAAATTGATAGCTCAGCTACAATCCATACAGGATCATAGCTCAGCTCAATCCATAGTTAGGCTGCACACGGAGAGAAAGAAACATCGCTTCATCGAACTTGACAACGTGAAATTAATGGATAGATGTGCTGATGCACGAGAACATCGATGGGACTCCGATGAACAGCTCCTGATCCTTATCGCATACTGACAGACAGAGGTGCCCGACACTAGTGATTATAGGTTCACGGAGGGGAATTACAGTGCTAGTGAATGGGGATGGATTGAGCCGGCCTCCACTTTCTGCAAAGTTTGTGGGTGCCACTCACTCACTGTAGGTGGCTGGGCTGGCTGGCTGTGGGTGGCTGGTCAGCTGGTGGTCCCAACTCCCCACTCCCGAGCTCCCTCCTTGCTTTCATGGTATTCGCCCTCCGTCTCGATACGATAGAGGCAATGTTAGCGGCTTTGACCCAAACCTTTTGCTAGAGTACTCGAAGACCTCCGGCCTGGAGACCATAGCCGTGTGGAAAACTCTCAGCTCCCGCCGCAGGCAGGACGTGGAAGCCTACCCCGGTGGACGACAAATCGAGCGCAAGGTTTGCAGAGAGCTCCCGATTCAGATCCCGGGATGCTCCAAAGTGTCAGCGTTCTGATTCTTGTGAAGGAAGGAGGGAGGGAAGGAGGACTGGAGAAGGAGAGGTGCGGCGAGGTGAATGACAGGAGATGGAGATGCGATGGATGCAGATGTCCGATTCAATCTCAGGAGCAGAGCAGTAGTGGACCAGTAGTACAGGACAGTGAGAGAGACGGGGGCTAATGATAAAATAATGTGCGGGTGGGTCCGGCCTCGGCTCGCAGGTACAGGATGATTATTGCCTTTGGGCCTCACATCATCCAGTCAGATTCAGTCCCCTCCCTCGCTCCCTCCGTCGACGTACTGTACTGGAATTTCTACCTGTCGTGGACCTCAGTCAGCTCGGCTCCGCTCATTCGGCTCAGCTTAGCTCAGCTGAAACACCATATCCAAACTGGATCCTTTTCCCTTTCCCGAACGCAGAGATTCGATTCGATGAGCTTGACGCAATGACTCCAATCAGAAGGCCGGTTTTGACACGTAGCAGACGACTGCCTTTCTTCGCTTGTGCAGCTCTTAAAATCGCCTCGAGCCCGAATCATGGTCCACCACCGAGCTAAAGAACATCCCCCCGCCACCCTCCCCACTTCTTACAAAGCGGGGTTCCGGATTGCGGATCGCCAGGACCGCAATGGCACAACCGCGATCTCTGCCCCAATTGCAACATCTGAGAATGTAGTCGATACTGCCACCGTATGTATGTACTTACGCAATTGCCTACAAATTCAGCTCAATTTATCTGTAAAGCTCTCGATGGATCGATCGATCGACAGACTACCATTCATTATCAACACAGCCTCCTCTCCTCTCCTCTCACGTCAGTCGTAGTTGTTCCACTACCCTCAACCCCCTCCCTCCCTCCTTCCTTCCTTCCTCCCTCCTCCTCCTCCTCCTCCCAACACATTACTTTGCCATCTCTCATGCTGCATCTGCTGCCGACTGTCTGCCGCCTGGTGTACTGATCCGGCCCAGCTCTGGCAAGATGCAGACGGGAGCAGTGGCACCAGACGGCCGTATGACATGTGACGATTCGTCGTTTGGCGATTTACTATAAAGACTGCATTGTAACTGTTTCCAGATTCAACCATCCTGAGAGCTTAGCGGTGACTCTCGACCCGTACTCCGAGAACGAACCTCATTAGCACATGCATGCTGTACCTCAAGCAGCGGCAGCGATGGGACTGGAACTCCATCCCGGAGGGAATCAGATACGATTATCACTTGATAAGGGAGCTGCTGTATCGGGCCATTACTACCAGAAGTAAAATCGCGCTGCTGCTGATGATACTGTATCTCCCCCGGGATCCCATCGGAATCTACGATGTTTCCCTTGAGGTGGTGTCGATACTTATCGTCTACTTTTCTTCAGTCTACAGGTGGTGTTTAGTGTGTCCTGGCTACCCCTGACTTTCTCGGACGGAGGAGAAACCCTTTCCGTCCGAGGGCCAAATTCTCGAGAAGTCAGTAGAGGTAGATACATCGGTCCCTCGTTGGCAAAAGAGGATGTGAGGCTGAACGAGTGAAAGAATTGTCATCATTGATCTGGCTCGGGAGGGAGATGCTGTGGAATTTGCGGGCTCTAGATCGCTATCGTACAAAATCCAGGACCCCAGGAAGAGGGATCGCTTCGTACTGTCCATCCAATCCAGAACATCAAATCAGGCACGCAGGCAGGCAGGCATGCATGGCATTTACTCTTTCCGAGAGTAGGGAGGATCGATATACGATCGGAGATGTGTCGTCTTCACCGAGTATCGTCACACTACGGTCTTCTTCCTCTACGAGATTCACAGCCAGTAGAGACAGACGGGAAAAAAGACAACCATTCCAGTATTTTCAATTCTCGGTCTGTTCGTGTCACAATGCTGTCCTTCTCGGCTGGTCCTAGTTGTCAATATTATAAGGCATTTGTTGACGACACTGCTTAGCCCGCATTCAGAGCGCAGGGCCCAGCCCTCTGCCTCGAGCTCTTACGTCTGCACCTCCCGAGGACCCGTCAACTGTTTGCACAGAGAACAAATCTCTTCTGTAAATTCAGAGCCTAGTCTGTCCTCGGGAGACTGAGCAATCCATCACCTCACTGCAAGCATCTCTCTCTCGCTCTCGCGGTGTACCTTTTGAACCATCTTTCTTCCCAGATGGATCTCTGTCAAGTCGCAACCAACTACCACCGTCTTCTCTCTACACAGACTAATCACAGTTCTGGATTTCTTGCAAGCTTTGAAATGTGTATACCATCTCGTACCTGACACCCTGAGTTTCTGTGCTACTTGGTACAGCTCGAGAGCTAGCTAACAGTTGCGGCAAGGTGCACAAGTGCTTGTGCGACGAGACACGATGCAAGACAGCATAGAATATTGATCGAATATTGATCGACACAACAACACACCGTAGGAGTAACAATCCCATAGTCGTTATCACAGAAAGAATTTCTTTTCTTCCTTCTTCTGATTATCAGGAATGAATGGAAGTGGTCAAATTTTTCCGTCGGATTGGGGGAGGGATTCAGATACTGGAGTTCTAACTAAGTTAAAGCTACCTGGGCGCGCGAAGCTAGCTCTGCCGCAGAAAATGACATGACTCTTTTCAAGGGTTCCGAGATTTCACGTGGTTGTGACGCTCTCGAAGAACCTCACGTCGATGAACACGCTGTACAAATGGCGAGTCTCCTTCTGTATGGTTGACAAACTGCCGAACTGCCTGACTCACTGCCTGACTGACTGATGAGAAATCTACAATGACGAACTAATTTTTCCTAATCTAATCATCCTCAACTCAAACAAAATTTATCAAACTTGACTACGGACGATCCTCTTTCTCCCCTGTACACGGGCAATGTCGAGCTTGAATAGACTGGTGGTCTTGAGAGGATGGAGAGCCTCCATCGCCGCCCTGCCCCTGGCCAGTTGTCGAACCTCCTTGCAGAGAACTGGTGTCTCGTATGGGACTAGATCCAAACACTCCTTGCAGAGTGCTGTTGCCAAATTTTCTCATGGACCCTGATGCCTCCAGAGAAGAACGCACTTCCTCGTGCAACTTGGAGATGGCACTCCTTCCCTCCGGCAGGACCACAGTAGGCTTCCTGCTGTTCTCACTTAAGACCCCTCCGGAACCAGCACCGGCACCCGTCGCAGATGTTTCAGTTATCGGTGCCTGTGGTATGAAGATGAACACGCTCTGGGCTGATTGATTAGCCTGACCTGCGTTTTGGTATGGGTCGAATTCGTGAACATCTGCTCCTCTCTGCGTTTGCTGGACTGCTGAAGACGATGACCCACCACCGCCTCCACCACCACCTGCGCCAGCTGGTGACTGCTGTTCACATATATCCTTCCTGAACTCCTTGGACTTTCGAGGTGCAACCATCGTCCCACCGCACCAGCTTGCAGCTCTCATGCACGGGACATCAGCCGGGGACGTATGATGCTGCTGCTGCTGCTGATGCTGGTCCTGGATCACAGTGATCTCGATACGGTGGGAGGAATCGTCATCTCGTCTCGAAGATCCGCTGATCTCTCCCATCGACGATGAGCGCTGAATAATACCGGGTCCACTACTAGGCCCTGCTCCCTGAGAGCTCACAAAAATGCTCAGAGCAACAGCGCCAGGTTCCGGTGGGCCTGCTGGAGGGTTGCGCAGCGTCCACGAGGAGGAAATGATGGTGCTTCGGCAGAGAGGGCACGAGGGATGCGACCTGAGCCAGTTGTCTATGCAGCTGGGGTGAAACATGTGCTTGCAATTGGGGAGCAGCCTGAGCTCCTCCTTCTCCTCAAACGAGCTCAGGCAAACGGCGCACTCGGAGTCGAGATTCATCCCGTTGAAGCTCTCGGATGAGTATATCACAAGAGGGAGGTTTTTTATGACATTGGTGTCCAGCAGGTGGCCATCCTTGACCACGTCCTCCCACATCCTCGTGCCCGCATCCTGACGGCTCAAATGGGGCCGCATGAACTTCGCGAACAACGCAAACGCTGCCACGAGTATGAGAGTAAATCCCAGTCCGATTATGATTATTGCCACATTGGGCTTCAGCGCCGGGAGCCCCGGGTCCGCCACAGTGTCCGGCCCGAAATCTGTACACGTAGTGCACCCCATGTCTCCATTCTCGCTGGTCAAATGCTTGGTCATATTCCTCATAGCATAAGTGAATGACATGGTGGTGGTGGTGGTGGTGGTGATGGGACTGACAACGAAGAATAAGACTCTGCTGAGCTTCTCCGACGTACTGGGCTCGATGCCTCCGCTCGTTTCGGAACTATACACCGAATGTCAGTTGCGCTTCGTTCTCTCAAATAAAACTCTGGCCCATAACTCTTTGTCAGAATCTCCATCGCCCACCTCGTTCTACTCTGCGGGTGCCATCAACCTTAGCCCCCATGCGACTGACAGCGATGAGCTGATCCGACCTCTCAAAGAAGAAGCAACAGCAACAGCTGGCCAGCATGCATGCATGTCATAGTCTCCTCAGACACAACCGCTGAAGGAAGAGCCCGTCGAGCCTCAGAGAAAACAACCTGGACCTAGAGCTCTTCGACATAACCTCAGCACTAACGCGTTCCGTGCTGCAAGCGTTCCTGCAACAAATTCCCCACCCGCTCGATACGAGATCCACCGAACTAAGACTCCAGCGCATTAACTGGCAGAAGTCTTTTTCAACTATAACCCAACAGATGAAGGAATTACACCTTCCTGAGCCGAAGAAGCACAGCACACACTCTGATTGCTCCTAAGCACACGAAACCTTGTCAAACTCAATAGCCGTCGGGTGCTGCTGCTGCTGCTGCTGCCGCCGCCGCCTGGAGACGAAGAGGCGCTCGTGTCAGAAGATCCCGAACTACCACTACAGCAGCAGATGATCGAGACCGACTTGAGAACGAACAGTGAGAACAAGGCGAGGAAACGAGAAGAAACTAGAAACCTCCAAAGCGCCCGACTGCTGAAAGAGCTGAACTGCTAGCTCCGTCAAATCAGAGAGCTGAGGAGCATCAAATCAAGCGCTCTGACACTCAAGTTGTGAGTCTGCTCTGCTCTGCTCTATCAAGAGACTGATACCGAGTCCATAAACTTCTTGAGCTCACTGAAAGATCGAGCTGGAGCTGCTGCAGCTGCTACAACACACCTGGCCTAGCGCTCCTCTTCCTCCTCCTGGTCTCTGGCGCTCTCCGCAGCCACTGCCGCAATGCGAGGGGGAGGAAACTGTGGCGGGAGATGATATCGGTCTCCTCCTCGCGGCTGCTGGGGCTCTCTTATCCCTCGTCGTCTCGGTCCAGCAGCTCGACTCGTCTTTCCTCGGAAGAAACGCGAAGGACGAGAGCTGGACTGCGCAGAAAGCCAACTCGTCCGAGCTCCTGGTCTCTGTCATCCATCGCCTTTTGCTCGCCTCGCGGTGCCCGAAAAGAGAACGAATGCGCGAGCGAACGCAGGGGGAGGGGGAGAGGGGGGGAGGCCTGTAGCATCTCAGAGAGGCAGGCAGAGAGGCAGGCACGGACTCAAGGAGGAGGCGACGGTGGACCGCCGTCGATGACTGGCTCAGTCCGCTGTGCGACTTTGGTCCACGGATTGAGGGCGACGAGTGAATCATGCAATGACTTCTGGAGGACGGTGGACTGAAAATCAAGCGTAGGCCAAACTGGGCCAGACCAAGTAAGCGAGTCTACGCGCCGGACCGGTCACGACAGCGCTGCCCGGACCCGACCGGACCGGACGGACCGGACTGTGGGGCTGTGTAATCCCACCGTCGTCGGTGTCCCCCTCCCCCTTTCCCGATTCGTCCGGTGAACTGGATACACCGGATTGCATGCTCAGCAGGTTTCTGTTCAGTTTTACGACTTCCACTTGTATCGTGTTATTACGCTCGCTATCTGTGCGCAACATTGGAGAACATGCATGGCGACAGTACTTCTCGGGGAACAAGACGGAGCATCTACCCCAAGTGCAGATACTCAATCCGGGAAGAGTGGGTTTTCTGTATTACCTGGAGCCCGAATTTGCGAATTTTGAGAGGAAATTCGGATCAACTACAAAACTTCTGATAATCTAATAATTCTTAGCTATATGTTCGAATGTGCTTTTAGCACAGGTGCTCTGTTGTTGCCTGACTGTCTACAAAATAGACATGTATAATTGGACCTACATGAGATCAACTCTATTTACGCACACATATATATACACCCTTGATAAATCAAAATATATTTTTTCGATCAACTATACCATGATTGATTTTCTGGCGTCCGTATTTCATTATAAATATATCAATTAATTTTATACATAGAAATTGGTGAGAGAAAGGAGAATATCACTTGCGAACACAAAATATATTTTAGCTACATAGAGCTGAATATATTTGTATTTCTCATTATCGGAGCGTATTACGCTCGGATAGAAAATGCTCAGTGGCGGGAGCCTCCTACTCTCGAAGTAGCTGGTAGCGATGGAAATAGTTGCTACGATGTTGAACAATGATTTACGCAATCGTGGAAGCACATCGTGATGGTATAATTTGGCTTTTATCCATCACACTTTCAACATCACTTACATTTTTGACTGAACGAAGTCAGACCAAGTCTCATCAGCAGCATTGATGAGATCCGTGTCTCTCGGGGTACACCTCCGAGGCAATTAAAATTTGTTACCTAGTGAAGAGGAAGTTAGAGAATGGAAATTACTCATCCTTCTTTAGTGAGCTATGGGAGTGAACACAACTGCAATAAACAAAACTCGATTTCCGAGAAACTGTTGGCGATTATCATTCGGCCAGAGGTTATTCGTAATCTACAGCCAGAATCTCCAAAAGACCGATATAATTTACTTTGATCTAGAGCTAGAAACATCGAAGAAATGCCCGGTGTACTAAGAAAACAGCTGTGCATCAAATATTGAACCAGCACAAAGACATGGTCTTGACTTTTAGGAGTACAATAGAATCAGAGTTGAAACCCTCCCGACCCCAATCATGGTTGGGAGGACTCGTTAGCACGGCCCACTTGGTGCTTACATACATTACATGTCACACAGAGCTTAATCACCTATAATCTTGATATGCTAACAAGAAAGGTTTTTAATATTTTATTTTAATTTATTTTTTTTAAGGTCTGAAATCGTGTCGAATTCCAATTATCAACATATGTGAGAAAATACTTGAAAGTCTTCATATAGATGTCAGACTATATTTACTACCATACAATATATTTTTAGAGAAGAAAATTCCTGGTAATATAGATAGCACGAACTGATGTAATCGTGTTTTACTCTTTCATTGATCATCTAGTTTTTTCTAGTCATTTTGATTTTTATGGTTCATGTGTTTTACATTTTGCATAATATATATCACATTATTATTTTATTATACTATTAGTACATATTTTTGGTCTGGTTTCTTACTTCGGCGACGTCATGTGTTCAATATATTCCTGATCAACAAACTGATAATGTTTGGCTTACGGTTATATTTACTTCCATCTACTAGTCAATATTTGGAAACATTGATACACATTTTTCTTCAGCGTGAATTTCTGTTTACATGCATTAGAGATATACGATGGAATCTAACTCTTCACGTTTCCAATGATTTGCTATAGGTCGATTCTCTTGTTAAGAATAGAATAGGAAGATAATATTTTTTATGCTAGACAAGTTGTTAAACACTTGTTGCAGAAAAAAGGTTCACACATGTGTACACGGGCATTCTGAGGTTTCCTTCACAATCAAATGGGTACTGGAGCAGACAAGTTGATTACGGCGGCGGCTGAGGGAGGCATGGAATGGCATCCTAATCATCTGGTGATGCAAGCAAAGAACTTTTGGCCCCAACTTGAAGTCCCTGGAATTCGCGAACCGCGTGTCGATTAGTCAACAGTGGCTTCGTTTACTCACTTCTCCCTCCTTCTTCTTCCATCGTACTTCCATCTGTGTTGCAATCACAGGGGGCCCCAGTCACTGCTCTGCCCACTTCTAAAAGTTTCGCTGGCTGATTCGTCGTTCTTTGACCTTCTGCTAATTCACCTTTTCCTCCTATTACAATGTTGAATAAACATAAAGTGAAAGACACAAAGGCCGGGGATATTTTGTAAATGTCCTTGCGTCCTCAATTCAATTCAATTCACAGTTCTCATTCAAATTAGTGTGTAAGAAAAAAGAACAGACATTCAATTTGTTCAGGTGACATCAATTGGGTGTGGACTGACTTTCCAGTCAACGACTTTTTTCCTGCATTAAACTCATAAATAGGAACATTTTATGAAGGTATAACTGGTGCGTCGAACTCACGCTTTTTTGAAGAGTTAACGCTTTCTTCAACTCTAAGATTCCACGTTAGAGTTGAAGACACCTGAATCATGCTCGGAGCACTATCGCCCTTGGATTCCACATAACCAGATCGTCACTCAAAAATTATGGGTACTCTACTTCAAGCGATCAATGTTAAATTTGGGCGAAAAATCTGGGATTCGGTACTGATTAGGGTCCAAATTCATGTGTTCATTTTGGAAGCAAGACTTTTCTTGGCTTAGCGTTATTGTTCATTCGTCGAGTCCACGATGTGGTATGTACAATGGGACATGTGGTCCCAGTAGTGAGTACCGTCCCTTTTTCCAGGTGCGTCCGGGCGTGAGTTGCAAGCTTATGAAATTGAAGTTCATCTAAGCATCCCAATATTGAGCTCATGATGCAATGGTTTCTTCACCGAACTAAATCGAAGAAAAACCTAATAAATCCTTCTACTACAGTGTCAAATCACGAATCTGATAGCTACTTGAATGCCCTGAGGTATAAATTCAACATTTCATGCCTAAGCTATCTACATTGACAAAACACTACACCTTCCAATAATACTTCACCCATTAAACTAATTATTCCTTTGCTTTTATCAAAAGGATGTGCACCTCATAGGACAATGATGATTTCACAATAATATACATGCATATGAAATGAATCCTATGATTTCGCACATATCAAGGGTATACATAGTTTGCATCATCTTACTCAAAGAACTGAAACCAAGCTTTGTACATACATAAACAAATGGTTTCAAAATGGTGATTAGATTCTATAGTTATAAATGTTTCCGAAAAATTAAAATACATAGTAATTTGATTCTACATAAAGTTGGAATATCTAAATTTATGAATGATATAATAAGATGCATTTAATTTTAGATTGTATCTTGGTTGATAATATCACCACACACCCCCCCCCCCCCCTATCAATTTTAACTTATATCCATTTGATTATTAACTAAAATTCCATAAATTGTTCATGACTTTTGAAATCAATTCTTTTAAGAATTGATAATTTCATCATATCAGTCAATAAAAATACACAAAATTTCAACACAAAGACTATCAAATCGTTCGTTGAAAGAATTATTATTTTTTTAATTAGAAAATTTTACTTCTGAAAATTTATGATTGAAGAAAAGTCCCGATTATAATTCAACGTAAGTATTGGAATTTTCTAGGACTGTCGGATTGAAACCTCGTGGATCCATAAAACACATGTTCAGCCCGTGAGTATTATAATATAAATACAATTTCATCAATTCAAATAAATTTGAGGATAAACTCAACTTTAAATTTGACTTATAAATTTATCTAACTTCAGTCATTCTTTGTTTCTGCAATTGAACTCTATCGTATAAAATTAGGTGCGTTCAGTCTGAGCCAAAGTATAGTAATCTAACATTTCAAGGGTTTGCAGACATTCGATTCATGAAGACATTATTTCTGTCTTACATGTTAGGTGGTGAACTATACGACTCAATATTGCGTTATGTTATCTTCACTGCACATATAGGTGTATGCAGTGAGGGTAATGTTTTTTATGTGTGTGATCAATAAGCAAGTACAGGATAACATAAAATATACACAATTAAGTTTCTCGTGAAAGATATATATTTTTTAATTATTATATTTACAGATTTTTAGTAAGTCTTTAATAAAATATTTTTGTATGTTCAATTAAAAACATCTACTCTATACTTTTAAAGAAGTGAATCGAACAAACCACAAGAATATTATAACAATCAAAATTTATTTGCATAAATGGTTACGTTCAAACTCTTAATACATATTAACTTCACACAAACTTGTACGATAGTGATTCCTACATCCTCGGACATTGTTATTGTGATTCGGACAATGAGGTAAGGCTTAGATTACATTAGAAACTCTAAAAATATACTCATCCAAAACAGCTATACTGTACATCTTAAAAACCATAGAATAATATTCTGTCAACTTCTTGTATACTTATCATCTTTAAGATTATAAGGAAAAATAGACAGTATGCCATGCGTAGAAATAAGCGTTGTGTTTGAAATTTGAGGCATCTGTTCATAAACGATTAATACATAGAAAGCTAGTAGACTATTGAACACAGTGCAGTGGAAGAACGTGAAGATCTTGTCTTCAAATTTGGTTTAGGCT